TATATATATATATATATATATATATATATATACATACATATATACTTTTTTTTTTTTTTCAAATCTCGTATATAGGACAACGTATTAAAGCTCCTGGGGAAATAAAATCTGTTATGAGTTTGGGTGTGTCCCCCTTTAAAAAATGTCTTGAGGCGCCTGTGTTTCCGTGAGTTATTAAACACCAACAGTGTTTCAATTTAAAGAAAAAGTAAGAGTTTTGAATCAAAACCAAAATATGTGTTCCATTAAAATGTTTCGATACGGTTCTTATTAGCCTGAGACTCCATCTTGTGTTGGTTATGTAATCAGATCTTCCTGTAGTTTACCATGACGTGAAGGCCGTGAACTGAATCGTTGTTCTGGTCTCCACAGCCTCATCTCACTCTGGATACAGACGGAACTGAAGCAGAGGAGCCAGATGGAGGAACCTCTGGACCATGGACCTTAACCCTACCATGTACTTAGGCCAGAATAAGAGCGTTTTAACGTATAGACTGTTGGGTGAAGAGTTGCGAGCTCGGTACAGGTCCGTCGGTGACCACAGGACTTGCAACGAGAACCTTTCAAACCTTCATAGGTATAGTCACGTTATATGAGCTAGTTTAGATTTCCAGTGCCTTTGTAGAGCTTCCAGCCTGGAGGACTTTTTTGGGTGGAATGATGTTTGATTCTGTTAAAACTACAACTTGTGTATTGTGATGTGCTGGTTTACAGCCGGACTCTAGTGAATGTAACACGGTCGAGCTGCAGCTTGACCCTGGGTTTAGATGGGGGGCAGTCTGTCCTCCGCTCCTTCACCACAGAAGCTGCACCTACATGTGAGGAAGACCTACTGTGTGGCACATTAAAGCCATTTGAATGTAGCGGGTTTTAAGTAACACATTCTCTGTCCCTGCCAGAACGTCCATGTACCCGTTAGCAGCTGACGCAGTGACGAAGCTGATTAACTGAACTTATGCACTGTTGTTGTGTCTCCTGAGACCAACAGACTCAGCATTTCAGGTCATTCCATGTTTTTATTTTAATGTTACTAAGTTTTTTTTAAGAGACGGGGTTGTGTCCATTACAACAGCATCATCCTCGTCCCTGTCTCGGTGCTTGTAGGACGGCATGCTCGAAACACTAGACATACAATCCCAAACTGCTAACATGTGGGAATGCTGCGAGGAATGTTCTGCAGAGGGGAGAAAGACTGCGGCGCTTTGGTTGGAGCGTCACAACACCAGCGTTTGAACGTTGCGCTGCAGTCTTCTGTTCTGCAACAAGTTGGGATTGAGGTTCTGAATTTTGCAGCAAAACTCATGTTGGACAGGGTTGTTTTTAAAATTTTGTACATAATTTTTGTTTTTGTTAAATCTTCACATGGTTCTCCAGAACCTTTGTGATATTTAGAGACCGATAATGTTTCAGGACTTTTTATTTTTTAATTGTATTTTGCCCTAAGGCGACCTTAGGGAAGCATATCCCATTTTTATACAGTCACTTTGTTTTCTTTTTTTTTTTGTTTTAGATGTTTATATTATTTATTTTGAAGCAGTGTTGCAATGCATCAACTGTGAGTGGACAAGCACATTTCAACGGGACTCCAGTGAAGAATTTTGTGAAACTTCTATGCGGCCAGCCAACAATGTTACTGAGTAATTACTAACATTTTCTGCCTTTCTCTCCCCTTTTTGCTTTCTAGTTATTCCTGTAACTTACATGCACTGGCTTTCTTTATTACCTTCAGACCTATGAACTGCTTTGTGTAGCAAATATATTTTCACAATAAAACTGACAACTTTAATACTGCAAGTGTTATTCAGAAAAAATGTATAACCATTTGCGCATTGAAATTACAAAAAAAGCACCCATCCATCTTCTACAGCTTATCCGTAATCGGGTCGCAGAGACAACAGGTCCAGAAGATGGACCCAGACTTTCCTCTCCCCAGCAACGATGTCCAGCTCCTCGGGGGACAACAAGGCGTTCCCAGGCCAGAGAAGATGTACCATCCCTCCAGCAAGTTCTGGGTCTTCCCCAGGGCCTCCTATCGGTGGGATGAGACTGGAAAACCTCTAAACGGAGAAGTCCAGGAGGCTTCCTAATCAGATGCCTGAACTGCCTCAACTGCCTCCTTTCGATGTGGAGGAGCAGTCTCCCTCTGGATGATGGAGCTTCTCACTCACCTCGACAGAGCCCAGCCAACCTGTGAAGGAAGTTCATTTTGTCCGCTTGTATCCAGGATCTCGTTCTTTCAATCATGATCCAAACCTCATGACCACAGGTGAGGATTGGAACATGGACAGACCAGTAAATTGAAAGCATTGCCTTTTGACCCAGCTCTCTTCACCATGACAGACCGAAGCAACGCCCTCATTACTGAGGCCGAGCCTCAATCTGTCAATCCATCTCCTCCTCCATCCTACCATCATAAACAAGACACCCAGATACTTGAACTCCTCCACTTGAGGCAAACTCCCCGCACAAAAAAAGCATTTAAAGTGATGCTGATGTGGGTTTCTATGGAAATGTTATGAACAGTCCATATCTTACCTGTTGCAGATGGTTTTGAATGACCTTCATTTGGAGAAAATGTTTAATTCTAACTGGATGGACAAGCTAATGGCTAGTCTGAGTGGAGCCAAAGCAAAAACTGATTGCCGTTGTCTTGAAACATCTTCAAAATGTTATTGAGTCATACAAGCGCATTTGATAAACTTTTACATTGTGAATTTTGCATTACAGGTACATGGTTATTTACACTCAGTTCTGTTTTATTTTTTTAATTATTATTTTGACGTGTAAATAATGACAGCACTTCAAGTTGGGAAATCATATATGTGATTGCATGTGAGCATGCATCGGGACATATATGCAATTGTATGTATCATAATGAAATTTTGAACACTGATTGTTTTAAGGTTTCTAAACATTTACATCACTGTCAGTTATTTACATATATGTAACAGCAGCAGCTGGCTGTAGCACTTCTGGTGTAGCATTAAGCACTGGAATATCAAACTTCTGCTAAAGCAAAAGTTTATAAAATAAAGTCCAAAAATCGTTAGATTGTTTAAATTTTAGGACCCCGCTCAAACTAATCAGTTAAACCTAATCAGATAATAAACTGTTTTCAAACTTAGGATAATCAGAAAACTATCCACAGCAATAAAATATTTATTACCTTTTTACAGAACCTGAAAAGATCTGAACCATTCCTTTAATGCCTGTTGGCAAGAATATAAGAGGTAAAAACATTTGATTTTCTGAGGGTAGTGAGTTTCAAATTTTTTTATTACTCCCCGCTGAAGGCATATGGGTGTTAATGTTTTTTGCTGTGTCTGTGTTCATTTTTCATGTTAGCAAAATATCCAGTGAAGCTTGGGACAGATTTGAATGAACTCACAGAACGTCTCTTCTGTGTCTACAAATGATTAATTGTGGGAGTCAACCACATTCAAGATGGCTGACACAGTTAATCAACATTAGCTAAAACTGTTGGCTACAACTCCATTGACAGATTTTGAGATAAATGTTGGTGTGGTAGTAGCTCAGAGTCATTCCCAAACCACACTCTGAGCATGGCATGTCACAATATGACATCATGCATAACATTGTTAAGGTTTGATCAGAACAGCTGGATATTAACTGTTGTTTCTTGACATAAGATAGTTTATCAAAGTTTCTGCTCAATAATCCAAAAATCTAACAGTTAACTCGGGCCCTCTGGATGGTTTCTTTTTTGTTTGTTTCATCCAAAGGACTTCATCAGTCCGAGGAGCCACAACAAGCTCAGTTCCACAAGCAGCACATAGTGGGTCAACCAGTTTGCTGGTGATAAGATGGTTTCTGGGGCCCGTCGACTCCTCTGAGGCAGCCATAGCTGAAGTGGTTCAAAACATCAAAGTTCATGCTCGATAATCCAGGCAGAAAAATCCAACAAAGTTCAGCCAGGTCATCTGGAATTTATTTATTTTTGTTCGTTTGATTTTTTATGGCTGCCTCAGAAGAGTCGACGGGGGAGAAGGTGGACTACAGAAACCATCTTAACACCATCAAACTGGTTGGCCCACGATGTAAGCCACTTATGGGACTGAGTTTGTTGTGGCTCCTCGGACTGATGAAGTCCTTTGGATGAAGGATGAAACATAAAATAAAAAAAGTGCAGGGGACCTGACTTAACTTTGTTGAAGATAGTCTAAATTTCTTCCATGAAAGGCAGCGGGTGGTATACATTTCTTCAAAGAATGCTGGGCTTTTATTTTAAAACGTTTTAACAATGAATTAAAAATGTTTGAGTCACAAAATTTATTTTAAAAGATGAGCTACTGTATATCAAATCATGTGTCCTTTGTAATATAACTAACCCAACAATTTATTTTTTCGTTTTAGAAGAAAATTCAACTCCATCTTTGCAACTAAATTCACCGGTCGTTTTAAAATAACCTTTTTGCTACAATACCAGTTAGTGATGATCGACTACAGAAACATTCAACTATTAAAAACAGCCATGCTGTTAAATGCATTTTACTCAAATATGCACGCGTTTCCCCCCCTTTCTATTAAATAACCACAACGTATAAAATGTTAGTTATCTAATTTAATAGTTTTTTTTAAATAATGTAACAATATTGACACAAGGAAATGATACAAGCATGTGAAATAATCTGGTGCTATTTTGAAGAACAATAAATCAAAACGAAGTGTTTATGCACTGAAACAACTTTGAACGTATTGCTTGACATTTTTCATCCTGCAAATCATTCGGGGTGACATTTTGAGCAAATCGTCGCTCACCCCCAACACACTGAAATACGAAGGATGTCCCGTCCGCCTCAGGACAACAATCGTGCAAATAAAAAGATCAAAACAAACACTACGTCACGGAGGAAACGTGAAAACACTTCTTTAACTGTGCAGGGTTCAACGGTCTCCTCAACAGTTTATCTGCATTAAGTGGCGTTTGTTTGTAGGCAGTATTTTTGAGGTATTTCAGGCAAACAAATTCATACAGAATGCAACATGTACGGCATAAAACAATGATTTAAGTTAATGAGAATAAAAGCCATCTGTCTACTGACCCATGGAAAAAAGAAGTGTGGCAACTTGAGGATAAAAAAAGACAATTTTTACACATTATTCATGTATTAGGCTATAAAGTGAAGATAAATCCTGGTTTACATTACACTTGTGCTTAACAATAATTGAGGTTTTATATGAAACATCTGAGGACAAAGCATCAAAACCTACAATTAATTACTTTAAGTTTGTCACTAAGGAGAAGCTATACAAAGTAAGTCAGTGGTTCACAGCTCAAGTCCAGTTAGAGGAGGTGCATTCACATCAAACTGCTACTGTCCACTTACGTTTGAGGCACTGGCACATCAACAGAACCGGTTTATTACAACATGCAGTGTTAACAGAGTTGCACCAGTACGCTGGAGTGACTCTGGTGGCCTGGCATTCAAAATAAAGTGTTAAAATGGCACAAGTGAAGCAAATGTTTTACTGATCCATGTACAATCACACAGCGGGCTAGTTCCTTTTCAAAGTTCAACCTGGTCAATAAGTCCTTGGCTCAGTCTGCCCTGCCTGATGAACTAATGAGATATCTGCTGACTGATGGGAAGGTCCGTAAAGGCTACAAGAGCTTATACAGCATTCATGAAACAATCTTCTAATTAAATATGCACATTAAATAACAAATAAATACATCCATTCAGCCTACAGTGTCAGTGTGAACTTGAATATTAGAATGATTATTTACTTAGTGATCAATGATCTTGACACCTAAGAGGTATATAACTTAAAATAAAAATAAAGCGCTACGTTTTTTTGAATTCTCAATGCAAGTCCTTTAACACACTGCAAAATAAACCATTCACAGATAAATAGTTTGTATATTTAGTTTTCTAAGTAACTTACAGAGGCACTGAACAGAATTATACACAGAGTTTCAAATGGTTCTGGTTTACAAAACTTTTTTTTTAACATACTTGGGCTGCAGGTTTCTGCTCACTTTGGTTGGTTAGTTTGTTACGGAGGAATGAACAAAGTCCGCCCTGTTTTAAAGACCCTGCGTATTTGTGAACAACGTTCAAGTCTAATTTAAAAAGTCTTGAAAACATTAGATGATTTCATCTGAGGTAAGACTGGAAGTCATGAAATGTGGGCTCCTTTAAACAAGGAGCACTTCCTGAAAACAGACGCTGATAACAACCTTTCTCTATGTGCTCTCGTTTATAAGAAAGACTCCATGTCCAGGTCCACAAATGTGTTGGCGTCGACGCTGAACGAGGAGTCATAGGTCTGGCTCGTGTTTTGGTGCAGCTTCTGATGGTGCCGCAGGTTGGACTTGCTGGAGAAGGTCTTGCTGCACAACATGCAGGCGAAGGGCTTCTCCTTAGTGTGTATCCTCCGGTGACATATGAGCTGAGTGGACACACGGAACGCCTTGCCGCACTCCAGGCACTGGTAGCGCTTCGGCTCTGTGTGGATGCGCCGGTGGTTTTTGAGAGCCATCAGGTTGGTAAACTCTTTCTGGCAGACTGAGCAGAAGAAGGAGCCCATCTTGTGGCTGTTTTTGTGGTTCAGGAGGGAACCAGCGTGGCGGTAGGAGCGGCCGCAGTGCTCACAGACGTGGTTCTTCTCCTCTGTTGCAGAAGTTTCGTTACTCTGTGAATCAGTGATGCTTTCTGGAAGATGGGCCAACGGTGGTGGGGCCTGGTTGGGTGTCTTACCCATCCCCATGGACTGATGTATTCCTGAGTCCCAGCAGAGGTTCTTCTCTACAGGTTCACACACATCTTGGTGACACTGAGCCACGTGGTGTGTGTCGTGGTGTTCCTGGAAGCTGGCTGCGTTGGGAAAGCTCTGCTGGCAGAGTCTGCAGCTTACAACCTGCTCCTTGGAGTGCGTCTCCATGTGGCTCTGCAGGTGTGCCGCCTCACAGAAAGTCTTGCCGCATTCGGGGCAACACTGGCGCCTCATCTGGGAGTGTGCGTGCAGAGCGAGAGGGTCAGGAAACGTCTGCAGACACAAGGTGCAGCGGTGGAGGTTTTCAGTGTCAGACTCCTTATGGTTGAGAAGGGGCGTGGCGTGGTGGTAGGAGGGCTCGACAAGGTCACACCTACAGCAGAAACACCAGAACTCAAAAATTCACCAACACACTTCAACAACAATCATTTAAACTACCAGCATGTATATAGTAAAGTTAATATTAATTAAATTATATTAAATTCAGTTTTTTTATCTAGCGCCAAGTCACAACAGAAGTGGCCTCAGGGCACAGAACAGAAACATTCATATATAAAAATAATAATTGAACATTATTTATGAGGAGCAGACTGCTTTGAGTTTAACTCCATCACAGACTCTCATCTTGAGCAAGCAGGAAGACGACAGTGGTAAGGAAAAACTCCCTCATGAGGAAGAAACCTTTAGCAGAACTGGACTCAGGACAAGCTTGGCTGCGTCTACCAGCTGGGTATGAGAGGAACAGGAAGGAGGAACAGATACACAATGGCAGGTCGAGAATCACATGTTAAGGTAGAAATAATATCATATGAAAACTATTCAATTTTAACAATTCATTTAAGGAAATAAAGGTCAATTTGTCCTCCAGTAGTGTAAGCTTATAGCACCATAAGCCAACCATAACTATAGGATTTATCAAAAAGGAAAGTCTTAATCCCAGTTTTAAAACTGGACAATGTGTCAGCCTCATGGACAGAAACTGGAAGTTGGTTCCACAAGAGAGGAGCCTGAGAACTGAAAGATCTTCCTCCCATTCTGCTTTTGGAAACTTTAGGAACCACGAGTAAACCTGCAGCCTGAGAGCGAAGTGCTCTGTTGGGAAAATATGGAACAATAAGATCTCAAATATAAGATGGAGCTAGGTTGTTGAGGGCTTTGTAGTTTAGAAGTAAGATTTTGAATTCAATCATGAATTTGACAAACATATTAAATATATTATTTTATATTATACATATCATATTATGTTATATTATATTATGTGTTATATTATACATATTAATTTATATTATATGTTATATTATACATATTATATTATGTGTTATATTATACATATTATGTTTTATATTATACATATTATGTTATATTATACATATTATATTATGTGTTATATTATACATATTATGTTTTATATTATACATATGTTATATTATACATATTATATTATGTTTTATATTATACATATTATATGTTATATTTTACATATTATATCATGTTACATTATATTGTGTGATATTATGTGTTACATTATACATATTATATTATGTGTTATATTATACATATTATGTTTTATATTATACATATTATGTTTTATATTATACATATTATATGTTATACATATTATATTATGTGTTATATATTATATGGACATATTATATTTGACATATTAAGGAATATATGAACCAATCAGGGCAATTAGAATAAAAATAAAGTGTTCTTTAAGTAATAAACATAACAGTGGTACTGTTTAAGTCGTTCAAAAATAAAAAAAAACCTACATGTATGATGACTAACAGTTTCTTTCTCACTTGACAGTAAGTTGCTAACTCACATGAAGCGCCTGTCTGCTCTCTCAGACTGCTGGGCTCCAGATGGTGTGTTGCTCTCCTGACCTTTGTGGCAGCGGTGCCTTTTCAGGCCAGACCTGCCCTGGAAGCTCTTTCCACACGAAGAGCAGCTGAAGTGACTCAGCGCCCGATTGTGGACCCTCTGGTGGTTGCGTAGGACACTGGCGAGACGAAAGGCCTTCCCGCATGTGAGACATACATACTTCTTCTTCTGCGTGTGGATTCGTGTGTGATTGCGTAAAGCCATTGGGTTGCTGAAGGGTTTGGAGCAGAAGGCGCAGCTGTAGTGTCCGGTCTTGTGGGTATTTTTGTGGTTCAGAAGCGAGCCAGCATGACGGTAGGTGCGATTACATATGCTGCATTTGAATGGACGCTCCTCTTTACTTAAAGACATATTTAAATGTGAATCTCTGCAGTCGGAGGGCCCATCACAGGTATGGTCAGCCAGTTGGTCCACAGACATAAAGCCCTTCTGACATTTTTTGCATTTAAATGTTCTACGCCTGAGGCCGCTCCTGCCTGCAGCCCCACCCTTTCCGAGGTCTGCACAGGTATGAGCCAGCAGTTGTTTCTTTCCTCTGAAGCCTTTCCCACAGTTCTGGCACAAGTGCTTCTTATTAGCAAAGTGGGTTCGCAAGTGGTTCTTCATTGCTAACTGGTTAGAGTAAGTGTTGTTGCAAACGGAGCAGCAATATTCACCCGTTTTATGGGAGTTTCTGTGGTTGACCAAACTTCCTGCATGCCGATATGTGCGCCCACACTGGTCGCAAGCAAAAGGTCGCCGATCACGCTCGTCCTCCAGTTTAACTGAGGTTTCCAACTTTGCATGTTCTGCCCTTCCTTCAACCTGCTGCGTGCGGCGTCGATTACAGGTAAGCGGCAGGCTGTTATATGAAGCTAAGGACGGCCTTCTTCCATCTGACCCGCTTCCATTCATTTGCATGAGCGCCTGGATCTGACTGTTAAGTTCCTGGATTTTGGCTTGGTTCTCTTTGTGCCGTTTCAGGTGGTTCAAAAGCTGCTTCTGAATTTTAAAGGCTTTCCCACACTCATGACAAGCATGTCTGGGAAAAGACAAAAGACAGTTACATGTGTGTGTTTATTAGACAGGCAGCACAAGTGGTCACAATAATTTTGCAATTCATTCGACTTGTTACTAACCTTTTAACGTCAAAGTGGGACCTCTGATGGTTTTTAAGAGCCAGCAGGTTGTAGAAGCGTTTCTGGCAGGTGACACATCTGAACACACCTGTTTTGTGGGACTTTTTATGGTTAAGCAGGGAACCGGCGTGCCTGTAAGACCGACCGCACTGATCACACTTGTACCGACGATCCTCACCATCAACAGTTTGTCTGATGAGACTTGTCTCTTCTCGCTGGGCAACACTGTTTATTTCCATTTCCTCTTTGAGGTGTCCTGACTCACCTTTTGTCTCTGAAGTGCAGACATGGTTGTCAAGATGATCCGAGCTTGAGCAAAAGATACCACAGCTGCCACAAATGATCTGCGCTTCCTCTTTACTTCTTGAAACGTCTCTGTTCAGAGGTAAATGGTCGACATGATCTGTCTGGTCCTTGTTGTGTAGAAGCTGATGGGAAATCAAGCCCTGTCTACTGGCAAAACTTTCCCCACAGGAACTGCAAATCATCATTTCCCCCAGCTCATCATCTTTCATTCCTTCACTGGAGGACAGGGAGGAAGGACCTGAGCTTGGAGGAGCATCGTGGGACTGTGTGTGTCCTTGGAGATGGCTTTTGAGAGCACTCATGCTGCTGTAGTTGTTGCCACATATTGAACACTGATAATGGTCTCCATCTTCATCGTCCTCATCAGAATCATCTACTCTGCCAGCATCCAGCTGAGAACTGTTTGCATTTTTGTGAAAATTCTGCTCAAAGTAACTTTGGCTACCATTTAGGCCATGCATCTCTGCACTACTTCCTGGATTTTCTACAGTAAAATGACCGTTATTGAACTGAAAGCTAAAACTGTTCGGATATTCGTTAATAGTGGTCTCGTGTCGCTGCTGTAGCAAAGGGCAACTATGAGACTTGATCCCTGCGATATCTGTGAACGTCTCACCACAGTCTGCGCACATGTGCCTTGGTGTTACTTCTTCTTTATGGGGTATGTGTGCTGCATCCTGGGAAAAGTCCCGATTAAACTGCTCCTCGTAAAACGCTCCATTTCTGACGTCAACTCCAGTCTCTTGGTCAACACCAAGTACGGCGTGAGCGCCATCTTCCTGCTCGTTCTGCGAAGAAAAGCAGCCCGGCTGGTTGTGTAAAGTGAGCGGCTCTGACGAGAGCCAGTCTCCTTCTGCAGCGACGTTGAAAGATGGCGGCTGAGCTTTGTGGAGACGAAGGTGACTCTTAAGTGCAGCCAGGTGAGGATAATTCTTACTGCAGATTGAACATCGGTAAATCCCCACCTGGTGTGACCTTTTGTGGTTAATAAGGCTCCCTGAGTGCCGATAACTTTTACCACAAATGTGACACTTGAAGGGGCGCTCATCAGACTCCACAGCTGATGTTTCTCCAATATTTTGCGATGGCACATGTGTGGGACTCTCAATGCTCGTGTCCATTACAGGGGCCTCTCCCTGAATGCTATTGGAAGATGGTTTTTGATCAGTGGAAAAGTCCAAGAGCCCATTATCAGTACTTGTCATCTGCTCCTGTGGAGGATCAAAGCTTCTCAAATTAACTCCTGGTGACACTGAAGGTATAGCATTTATAGGAGAGGCACAAAAACTAGACTCTGGTGAAGCAATACTGTTGTCATATGATATATGTAGCTTATCTGATAAAGTATCCTGAAGCCCAAATGACACAGAAGAAGAATTGTGCATTTGGATATGTTCCTGGAACTCTTCTTCGTTGGGAAAACATACCTGACATAAATGGCAAAAATTTAATGGAGCGTCCTGGTTATGTTTTGGCAGCTGGTCCGGTGTTGTGTTTGTGTCAGCTGCCAAACTGAGGTCCGACCTGCTTCTTGCCTTGTGAGTTCTCTGATGGCTGTAGAAAGCAGCCATATTTTTGAATAACTTGAAGCACACAGTGCACTCAAACACTCCCAGTTGGTGAGTCTTTCTATGATTGATCAGACTTCGATGGTGTATGTATGATTTGTCACACAAGTCACACCTGAACGGTCTGTCTACGGCATCACCACAAGTGTCAGATTGTGAATTATAGCTGTTAGTTTTATCATTGGATGAGCTATTTTCTATTGAAATACCAGCATTGTTTAATTTGTCAGTAAAGTTATGGTGCTGATCATTTTCAGTTTCACGTGTTGGATTCTCCGTGTCTATATTCCTAAATAACTGATCCCTTGGTTTCCTGGACTGATGGACTTTCTCATGTGTAGCAAGCTGAGTTGCCAAACGAAAAGCTTTTCCGCACTCTGCGCAGGAGTACTTTTTAAATGAAGTGTGGCTCCGGAGATGGCTCTTCAGCGCCGAGGCATTCCAGTTTTCCTTCCCACATATGCAACACTGAAAAGAACCTACTTCATGGGTCTTTTTGTGGTTTGTTAGGCTGCCAGCGTGTCTGTAACCACGTCCACATTGATCACATTTAAATTTACGCGCTTCCTCTTGCTGATGATGAACATCCATGTGCTCAAATAGACCGGGCATATCAGGACATACCATGCCACATTGTCTGCAAGTAAAACTCGTTGTTCTGCCAGGGTCCTGCACTGCCATTACAAGATAATGATTGAATAAGGCACACAGGATATAAAAAAATGTGAATTTGCCAGATGGAAATGCATTGAATACCTTTCTAGTTCATTTACAAGGAAGCCATTTCTTTACAATATGCTTCAAGGAAAGTCCAAGACAGTTAGACCACAAAGGGTGTTGAGAGCTGTTTCCAAGCAATTTGTAGAAACTTGAATTTGGCAAAAGTAGGCAAACTGAGTAGCTGAAGGCAGAAGAGCCTGCAAGACAATGTTAGAAGAGACAGTATTATTTGTAACACATTTTTAACAATCAACATGTTGCTTTTGCATCTGATCAGTAGCTGAAAAAGCTTAAACAGATTTACAGACAACACTGCAAAGCAACAACTCACAATACAACTATCCAGAGAAAGATAGATTATATGAAAATTTTAGCTTGTAGTCAAGTTGTATTCAGTATTACATGACTAAATTTCACAGTGCATTAACTTTCATTAAAACTACTGTATCTTGTTTCAAGCAACTTAACTCTGAAAGGTTTTTAAGGTCCAATAATCACCAGGGCTGGTGATTATGTCTCGGAACAAATATTCATGATGAAAAAAATATCAAATCTTTCTCACTAATAGTTAGATTGGTTCCACTTTTAACTGTGCACTCAAACTACATAATAAAAATATAAAAAATTTAATGACAAGGCATCTTCACATTCTCTTTTTTTTTGTTGTAAATATGCCATAGATGTTCAGTTTTTTTTTTTTCCTGCAACGTGCTCTGAACATCATAAAACACTCCTGCAACGGCACATAAAAGATTGATAGAAAATGACACGTATAAAAGTAAAAACATATTTTATAAATTAAGTTACGGTTCAACTATTTTTCAGTGCAACGTATGATGTTTGTTTAGGGAAGAGAACTTGTAATGTGTAATAAAATGTTTGCACAGTTTTAACCTCAGGTTATCAAAGTACTTTCAAATGTATTTTTATTCACATGGGTGCTGTCATTGGGAGTAATTTGGGGTTTAATTTCTTGTCTTGAATCCTGTTAACATGCAAAGCAGCTTTAGACATAAAAACATACCTAATTCATGAGTAACCTGTTCTATTTTAGAGTGCCTTGAATGTTTTAACACTGTGACACCTGTGATGCTGTATAAGTGTCCATGTATCTGTGTTCCCAGTCAGTAGCTCAAAAATTAAAGTACAGAAGACTAAAGGTTTAAACTTAACGAGGCATCATGCTGATTGTCCATCTTCTATTGTATTTGGTTTTTACCTCTTTGGAAAATTAAATAGGACAGGAAACAAGTCTGGAAAACACAAATGCTTTTTCAAACTACTTTCTTTTCACATTCCTATTAAGACAGAAAACACATTAAATCAAATTCCACACTTTTCAAGACTGTGCTGCAACCATGTGACAAAGTATTTACAAGCTTGTAATCCTAATCTATTTTCAAGAGACTGAAAATTCTACACGAAATGGGGACTTATTGAAAGACATACAGCAATGCGTCTGGCTACAAATATATTAAATCAATCCCCTGATATTCTAAGAAAATTAAAAAAAAACAAGAGTGTCTATTTTTAAAAGGGGGCGAAGTGCGAACAAGTTTTCTGCCATCAGTTGAAAAGAGCCGCAAACTGATGTTAGCGGCCTAGCAACTAGCAATGGCTAACTAAACAAACATTGCATCAAAGACAGAATGTCGTTTAAAAACAGAATTACATCGTCAGGAAACAGGTGAAAAGGAATACCTGAGAACGCATGATTCAATTCAAGCTATCAAACACGCATCTCCATTCAATATTTAGGAAAAAAACGCTATTTTATAAGCAAAGATGATCATATTTTTAATCCAACTCTTTTATTCTCCATTTCTACTTCAACATTGCGATTGTTGCTAGGAAACAGGAAATGTGCAGCAGCCAAATGTTTCCCTCTTGGCTAACGTTCAAGCTTGCACCGCTTCTACTTCATATTAACATAAAGCGATTGGTGTACGAAAATAAAAGTAAACAAATAGTTCGCTTAAAAGTTCTTTCCTTTAAATCATCTTGAGTAGATTACATTAGTGGCTTATTTGGCTGGATTAACTGGCTGGCGTTTTTAGCTTAGTACCTAGCCACTAAATCGTACTTTCGCCACTTTTTTATTTTCCTTGATCACATATATAAAAAATAGCTGGTAAGCCATTATTTAAAATGACATAACTTTACTATGTCTTATTCCAAAATGTTTACAGTTTATTTTATTATGTGGCTAATCTGAAAAGTTTATAATTTAACGCTGTTACACACTTGGCTTGCTTTCCGACAGCTGTCGTCATCAGGGTCCTAGCGCCGCCCTGTAGCAGGGAGCCAGTAAACAGCAATCAGCGTAAAATCTGTTGCGTTCAAAGACCGCATCGGCCAACTGCTGATGTACTGATATCGGTAAGATTGACTTGTATATATTTTTTATGATCGTTTAATGGCCAAGCCAAAAATTTGTAGAAATGTCTCAGCCTTAAATCCACGGTCATGGCGATGATGTGAGTGATTTGGTGCAACCAGCGGTCCTAAAGCCAGCCATTTTGAGTTACTGTAGCACGCAAACGAGCACAAAGATATACGTACATATCGTGTCCAGCTCTTCGCGATACCTTCACGTTCATATGTGATGTTTGACATTAGTCTGATGTCTGCTACATGCCAGTCATTGTGTGCACAGTAATCTCTGACATGCCAACTTCCTCTGGCATCAAAGCGGTTAGCTCATTGTCCCTGAGGTCCTAATGCCAGCCATTTTGTGAATAAACGCACATATTTTTCTGATTATCCGACTTTAAACAATGCATATGTTTTCATTTATTTTCCGTGGTCCATCATCATTTACTGGCATCTACCCAACATATTCAGTGACGTAATTTATCCCCATATCTTTGGAAAAATATGTCGAATTTATTATTTTCAAACCCACTGCAAAGATGTACATTAAAATGCAGTTTTCAACCTAAAAATGACAAGTGCAAGGGCTACTAATTAAAGTTTAGTTAAAAAAAATCTACTAGTATAACTTTGTTATTTTGATTAGAAATACTCCATGTTTGAATATTTTTTATTTTGATTTTGACGGCTTTTAACATTTATCTTTTACCTCAGTTTAGTGTATTTGGATTTGTTAATCTGAATAAACTGCATTATTTTAATGTAAAAGTGTCCAGAAATATGGCACCACTTTACAATCAGTGTACCATTACAGTGTGAGTAATAAATAGTTAATTTTGCAGGTATTAATTAAAAGTACTTAATGCAAACTATGAAATAATAATAAAAAAAGAAGTTAGTCAGAATTTGAAAGAGATTATTTCTATAGTTTTCCAGATATATTGATGTGCAATTCAGGAATGTGGGTATGCACTCAATGTAAACAAAGCACTTTTGTCTTCATACTTTATGCAACAAATCTGTGCGTAAATACAAACCAACCTTCTCCATCTCGAACATCTTTTCCATGAACATTCTCATTGTTGCTCTATTTTCAGTCACATTTTCTGTTTGTGTTTGTAAAATAGTAAAGAAAAATTGAAATACATCAAAACTGGTTGAACTAAACAAATGGTAAATGGACTGTACTTATATAGCGCCTTTTAACTTGTTTCAAGATACTCAAAGCGCTTTACACTACAATCTGTGTCCTCATTTACCCATTCAAACAGCACTCTACTAGATCTCTACAAAGCTAATTGAACAAATCATTCTAATGAGAATAATCAGTGCTTTAGATCACATTCATACACTGATGGGACACACATTAGAGGCTATGAGGGGTTCAGTGTCTTGCCCAGAGACACTTCAGCATGTGACTGCTGGTGGATTCAAACCCCCAACTCTTGCATTGGAGGATGACTACTCTAACCACTCAGCCACAGCCGCTCCAAGTTGAGTTAGTTAAAATAACCTTGTATTGGTACAAACAATACTTGTACAGTATTTTTTATTGTTTTGTTGTTTGTCAGAAAGAAATCCTTAACATTTCAAGAATGTTGCGTATAATAATTCAGATAAAAATGAAATGAACGATGGCTTTAAGCTTAGATGGGAGCGAGAGCACAAAAACAATGATAGATGGAGCAATTTTTTTTCCACTTGTGTGACTGACCTTCAAAATCACTTTGATATACACAACAAATTCAATTAGACCCCAAAAAATAGGAAATTGAGGATGTTTTAACTAATAGGGTGAGTTTATCACAGTTTCAGCAACAGTTTATGTAGTTAAAACTGCATAAAATACCAGGCAAACCCCATCTTAGTGTGCCTTTACTGACTTGCAGAGATAAGGATGGCCTCTCCTCAGCCTGGCAGCCCACCTCTCGCAGAGCAGCACACACACCCACCCGAGCAAGAAGAAGAAGAGAGCCAACAAGAAGAAGAAGAAGAAGAGGAGGTGGTGAGGGATCAGTCTGCTAAAAAACGTGGCAGAGGTAGGCCTCCAAAAACCAAACTCCTCTTCAAATGCTCCACGTGCACTGAGACTTTTAGGAGTCTGTCAGCTCTGCAGAGCCACATGTTGTCAGCACATGCAAAGCAGCAACATGTGTGTTTTGAGTGTGCAAAAACATTTCCCAACAAAGCTCAGCTCTCCAAACACGAGCGCACCCACTCGTCCCAGCGCCCCTTTCAGTGTCCGGATTGTCACAAAGCTTACAAGACGTGCACCGAGCTGCGGAACCACAGCCGCTCTCACACCGGAGAGAAGCCCTTTGTGTGCACCGAATGTGGGAAAGCCTTCATGCAGGCGATATGTCTGAGGATCCATATGACGCAGCACAGTGGCGAGCGTCCCTACTCGTGCCACCAGTGCTCCAAGAGTTACCCCACACTGTCCAAACTGAAGGTGCACGAGCGCTCTCACACTGGAGAGAAGCCGTACTTCTGTGCTGAATGTGGGAAGAGTTTCGCGGATCCCTCGGTGTTCCGAAAACACAAGCGGAATCACCAGGGCCATCGGCCGTATGCTTGCAGCGAGTGTGGCAAAACGTACACTGAGCTGAAGGACCTAAAGAACCACGAACGCTCGCACACCGGAGAAAAGCCGTTTCTGTGCTCCGACTGCGGTAAAGCCTTCTCCCGCTCTTCATCGCTGGCCTGCCACCAGCGCATTCACTCTCAGAACAAACCCTATCAGTGTGAGCTGTGCGGGAAGGGCTTCACTCAGCTGTCGTCCTACCAGTCTCATCTCCGCACACACTCAGGTGAGAAGCCTTTCCTCTGTCCCCAGTGCGGCAAGATGTTTTCCGACCCCTCCAGTTTCCGTCGGCACCAGCGAGCTCACTTGGGTTTCAAGCCCTATCCCTGCGATAAGTGTTCGAAGCGGTTCCGGCAGCCGGCTGATCTCGCTGTGCACGAGCGGGTTCACTCTGGAGAGAGGCCGTACAAATGTCAGAGCTGCGACAAGGCTTTTGTGGCGTCCTGGGATCTGCGGCGCCACATGCTCGTCCACACAGGTCTCAGGCCCTTCTCGTGCACAGAGTGCGACAAGTCGTTTGCCGAACGCTCCAGCCTCAACAAGCACCGGCGCGTGCACTCTGGAGAGAGGCCTTTCAAATGCGAGGAGTGTTTGAAGTCCTTCGTTGTGTCCTCAAGCCTGCGCAAACACGAGAGGACTCACCTCGCTGAGCAGTCGGAGCAGAAACAGCAGCAGGAGGAGGCTGGTGACGCTGCAGCCACGTCCAGCTTCACTGCCCCGGCAACTCTCCCTCAGTTCTCCTGTAGTCACTGCGACGTGACGTTCAGCACCTGGGAGGAAGTTCAGGCCCACGAGCCTCTTCACTCAATTGACTCCCCTCCTCCGGCTGTTACCAAGCTCGTGCCCTTGGGCTCGCACGTCTGTGAAACCTGTCACACAGAGTTTGCACAGCTGGCAGACTTACAGGAGCACGAGAAGCAGCATCCAAAGCAGAGGCCGCACGTCTGCGACAGCTGCGGCAAAGGCTTCCTTAATAAATCTGGACTGCGCAAACACCAGAAGATCCACTCGGCCAGCAAACCGCACAACTGTCCTCACTGCGGCAAAGCCTTCCTGTTTGCTGCCTACCTTCGCAAGCACTTACGGACTCACGCCGGCGCTACAGCACAAACCAACGATCTTCAAATTATTTGCCTGGACCCGCTCCCTTCTTCCCCTCCTGCCGGTGAAGTTTCTGCCTCCACCATCGAACCCAGTGCCATTTCTCTGACTGTTCCCGTGACTTCTTTTCAGGCTCTGCCCGAGTACTTAGTCAAAGATGAACTTTAAACTGTATTACTGTATTTTCACATAGAAACAGAAACCCTTAAGATGTTTTTTTTTAATTTAGGGGTCTGATTCTAAGGGGAAACATATATTTTAAAGTTATAATATTAAAAAAATTATAATGTGAATTTTAAGTGCTTTGTTATTGTTTTGTGTTACCATATTTGATGGATGTTACATGTATATGTGTTAACAATTTTACTATTAGTAGTCCAACTTAATATTATCCGTCATCTGTCAACACTAGCTTGATACAACTTGCAGTAAAAAAAATAACTTATCGTTCTCTTAAATGTTTTCCATTATTTTTAATTAAACTTTGTTTCCCAGGATCAAACCACATCCTAACAGTTCACTCTGCATCTATTAGTATTATGATTATTCAAGTAGATGTGATTTAAAAAAAGGTCTGTGACATTCCAAAATGCAACATTTTTATACCAATAAAATATAATAAAATGTCCTGAGTTTTCTGTTTAAAGTATATTAGTGCTCATGTTTTATCTGCATCTGTGCAACTGTTTAAGAAGCTTTTTGATTTTCAATGGAGAGAAGTGGGCAAAAATGAAAAACAGAGATAAATGTCATGTTAGCAAATCATGGATTTCACGCATCTATAACTGATTACTGGAGTAATTCTGGTTCAAGATGGCCACAACAGCTAATTGACGGAAACCCAGAATCGGCTTTAACTCAGTCAGTATTGCAGATATTGAGCTAAAGTTTTCCGTGGTAGTAGCTGAGAGTCATCCTCAACACACTGAAAGCCAACAGATCTCTTGCAATATTTAATGAAAATTTGCACGTCATTTTCAAGGTTTGAACCAACTCATCTGTTCTCACCATAAAATGTTAAAACTCTGGAATAAAAGGCAGCGGGTGACACGTCTTTAAGGAATGCTCTTTAATTTGTTTTGAGTTCATGGATTTGTTCTTTAAATAAAATTAAATATTCATGTAAAGGACAACGTCATCTTGAATGTGTTCTGATCTGTGCAAAAACAATCAGACTCACCGTTTACTAATCAGATTCTATATATGACACATAAAACTGCAAAATCTTCAACTAAAACAAGAATTGTACTAAATGTTTTGATATACAGGTGCTGGTCAGAAAATTTGAATATCATGAAAAAGTTGATTTATTTCAATAATTCCATTCAAAAAGTGAAAGTTGTATATTATATTCATTCATTACACACAGACTGATATATTTCAAATGTTTTTTTTTTATGTTGATTATTATAAACGATAACTAATGAAAACCCCAGACTCAGTATCTCAGAAAATTAGAATATTACTTAAGACCAATACAAAAAGGATTTTTAGAAATGTTGGCCAACTGAAAAGTATGAACATGAAAGTATGAACATGTACAGCACTCAGTACTTAGTTGTTGCTCCTTTTGCCTGGATTACTGCAGCAGTGTGGCGTGGCATGGAGTCGATCAGTCTGTGTCACTGCTCAGGTGTTATGAGCCCAGGTTGCTCTGATAGTGGCCTTCAGCTCTTCTGAATTGTTGGGTCTGGTGTATCACATCTTCCTCTTCACAATACCCCATAGATTTTCTATGGGGTTATGGTCAGGTGAGCTTGCTGGCCAGTTAAGAACAGGGATACCACGGTCCTTAAACCAGGTACTGGTAACTTTGACACTGTGTGCAGGTGCCAAGTCCTGTTGGAAAATTAAATCTGCATCTCCATAAAGTTGATCAGCAGCTGGAAGCATGAACTGCTCTAAAACTTCCTGGTTGGCAGTTGCGTTGACCTTGGACCTCAGAAAACACAATGGACCAACACCAGCAGATGACATGGCCCCCCAAACCATCACTGACTGTGGAAACTTGACGCTGGACCTCAATTAACATGGATTCTGTGCCTCTCCTCTTTTCCTCCAGACACTGGGATCTTGATTTTCAAAGGAAATGCAACATTTACTTTCATCAGAGAACATAACTTTGGACCACTCGGCAGCAGTCCCAGGCGAGATGCTTCTGACGCTGTCTCATGTTCAAGAGTGGCTTCACACAAGGTTCTCTACAGCTGAAACCCAGGTCTTGCATACGTCTGAGCGTGGTGGTTTTTGAAGCACTGACTCCAGCTGCAGTCCACTCTTTGTGAATCTTCCCCACATTTTGGAACAAGTTTTGTTTCACCATCCTCTCCAGGGTGCAGTTATCTCTATTGCTTGGACACTTTTTTTTAACCATATCTTTTCCTTCCCTTCGCCTCTCTTAATGTGCTTGGACACAGAGCTCTGTGAACAGCCAGCCTATTTAGCAATGACCTTTTGTGTCTTGCCCTCCTTGTGCAAGGTGTCACTGGTCGTCTTTTGGACAACTGTCAAGTCAGCAGTCTTCCCCATGATTGTGTAGCCTACAGAACTAGACTGAGAGACCATTTAAAGGCCTTTGCAAGTGTTTTGAGTTAATTAGCAGATTAGAGTGTGACACCAGGTGTCGTCAATATTGAAACTTTTCACAATATTCTAATTTTCTGAGATACTGAATTTGGGGTTTAAAAGAAATAATCATTTTAATTAAAGGAAATAAACATTTGAAATATATCAGTCTGTGTGTAATGAATTAATATAATTGACAAGTTTCACTTTTTGAATGGAATTACTGAAATAAATCAACTTTTTCATGATTTTCTAATTTTATGACTAGTATATGAAATATTTATAGTGTCATCACTGATGAAGTGAGTTGCTGGTTGGAGTCGATGTTAATCCTTCAGTAAAATGGACTTCCTGTTGCTGTGCTTTATCATGAAGAACAGCGCTGCGCCGGCGTCAGTTAGAGTCTGGTGGGAGGAGAACAATTAAAGTCAAAGCCAAGCAAAATGTGCCCCTCTGAAAGCATCTAGGCAATTTAAGTCTTGAATTACCTGCGAGTCAGAAATGACAGACTTGTTCTGGAAAAGACGCAAAGGAGGAATTAGTCCACGTGTGCTGATTTCAATAAGCGGCTCGGATAAAGAGAAATGAATCAACTCACCCTTGTGAAGTTATGCATGTTGTTGTATATTGGCTCCATGGTTTTGAGCCATTCTTTGAATGTCTGTTTGTCCTCTGTACTGCGATTATACTCTCTGCAAAACAGAGTTTCTGTCGAGCTCAAGACGTGTTCAGTAAACAAAATACGCCTGACTGCAGTCTGCTTAAATTAGTCTGTGTTGAATGAGCAGCCTTCATTAAACCCCTTTGTTGGGTTTAAGCATAAAGCACCTCTGTGACTGGCCGCCCACTAATGCTACCTACTGTTACTCACATGGCCCTCTCAATAAGCTGCTGCTGCAGCTCTCCCTCCTTCTTGGCGTCCAGGAAGCGGCCTCTGACAGCCAGAGCGGCGCTGGCCTGCAGCGAGTTGAGCTGAAGGATGGCGAGGGACAGGGAGGACAGCACCACCGAGCTGAGGAGGAGGAGGATCATGAGAGAGCTGCTCAACATTTACAGCAGCAGCATTGCTTTTATATTACAGTGCAAACGCACACACGTGCAGGCCACTTTGTGTCCGCTCACAGGATGAGTGGTGTGACCTTCGTTCAGTGTGTACAGCAGGATCAGGCTGAGAGCTTCGTTCAGTGTGTGAGTAAATGTTGGAATGAACGAGAACCCGTGTTTGCAAAGAGAAAACTGCAGATTTGGACCTGCAGGAAGATCAATTTGTGCTGAAACTGGCAATAATAATAATAAAAACATGCATATAATTTGTTCTGAAGGTGAAAACACAATGTTGATTAGATTTTAGAATACAATTAGAAAATCTTTGAAGAATTTTTGAAGGTCCTGCCTAAAATAACATCTGTAACAAATGCTAAATGGACTACTTATGTAGCGACTTTCTATCTTTTCAAGATACTCAAAGCGCTTTACACTACAATCTGTATCCTCATTTACCCATTCATACAGCACTACTAGATCTCTACAAAGAATAATCAGTGCTTTATCACATTTATACACCGATGGGACACACATCCGTGGCAATGAGGGGTTCAGTGTCTTGCCCAAGGACACTTCAGCATGTGACTGCTGGTGGAATCGAACCCCCACCTCTCCCATTAGAGGACGACTGCTCTAACCACCCAGCCACAGCCGCCCCAGTAACATAAGAATGATATATAAACTAGAAAAAGTGTACATTCATTCAAACCGACAGGCAGAAACAGATTGAAATGTAAGCCTCAAACGTTTGGGTGAAAACTACAAGTTGGATCTTTAAAGCTCCTCAACCGTGAGTGGCAGAAGACTAATGGTCCCATATGTGCATTTTTAAGTTTTGACAGTGTTTTATGTTGGGAGATATAACAAGTTAAAAAGAGTAAGTTTTGAAAATAATATTTTGAGCTAAAACATACAGTTAATGAAGTCTTGGGTGTTCGCTCTCTGCTGTACGGCCTACAGCAGAGAGATGCTCTTTGATGTGTAATGTAGTAAAACTTTTGTGGAAGTAAGACGAGTTTGTTTGCAAAGGATTTTAAAGTTTTTATAGCGTGACATTAATTAAAAATTCCATTGAAAAATCTTAAAGACAAAAAAAAAAAAATCACCTAAGTGGGATTGTTTAAAACCCAAATAAAATATAAAAAATGCAATTTCAGTCCCATAAAATATAACTGGCACCCAAATAAACACTGAAAACTGTTTCTGCTGTGAATGTGTACTCGAGATGCTCCAAAGAGACGGATTTTCTCTTTAATTTTTCCAGAATCCATCGTTGTCTGTGGGGAATTTTATTGTAATTGTTGTGAATTCTGTCTTAAGTTGTGCAATGCACCAGTCCCAAAAGTAACAGCACATCATTCCCAATCGAGCCATATGTTTAATGGGTGTATTTTTTTAAACTGAAGGGTGTGAATATACAGTAAATAAACTGAATTGAATTGAAAACAGAAAAGGTTATCAAAAAGAATTAAGTTAAGGGTGCTTCAGTGCTTACTCCATGGCACTCTTAAAGAGAGAGCCACACAGAACAACGTCTCACAGACTTCAGGAAGATCCATGCTTATTTTAATGATGGCAGCATTAATGTTACCTGTCATCAATAATTTCTCGCTCCACTGTCACCACTCGGAGCATCATCTGTCCGTTGCTCCTCTTGTACCTGATCTGCAGCTGGATGGACACATGGCTGCCAGAAGTTAATGCTGGCACTGAAAATAATCAGAAAAATAATAATAATGCAAGTCTCTACTTTAGTGCTTTTGGAGTGCAGAGATGTATAAAAATGTTTTGAATCACTGTTTTAGATTTACAATTAAAATGGTGATGAGATCAGACCTGTGTGAAGAACCAGTGATAAAATCAGTTCAGATAAGTGACTGCATGTTTGTCTTTGCTGATATTCCCTTCCCTTTAGATGTACTGTATACTCAAATGATCACAAATTTGTATTCATTATAGACAGGCAGAGAACACATGAGCAATACCACATAAGTAAACAGAACAATCTTATTTTACTGTACTTTTTACTCTGGCTCTCGCTCAAGGCGGACACTCCTGCTCTCCCTCCCCTTGTTCTCCCTTTCCTCCTACTTCTGCTTTCTGTGCGTCTCTGAGCTCCTGGTACACATCTCCCGAACAAAAATACTATTATGGACGATGAGCTGGACTGTCAACGAACTCGACAAATTTTTTTCAACAAAATGACAGGGTCCTGGAGAACCCTCTTGCCTGGCTGAGACTCACGCTGCGGGGATACATGAGAGATCATCTGATGTGTCTTTCAGTTCTGTCTCAGGAGGACGCTGAAGACATTTATATTTTGGATTTATGATAGCAGGGGTTCTGCTCTTTGGTGGGGCTCTGTTTTATCAACTTGAAGAAGACACCGGCAGCAGTTTCGGCCATGGCAAAGCTTCTGAGTCTGTGTTTGGTACGTGCTATGAGGACTCAAAATCAGCTGATTGAGCTAAATCGTAAGATGGAGGCGATTTTGTGAGAATTGCAGGCCATCTGCGGCTTCTAGGACACGACAGCATGTGGGATCGACCTTGAGGAGGCTCATAACCTGGATCAGTGGAGTGGATTCCCATAAATTTGGCCATTTTGGACCAAGGAAGTTCCAGCAGGACTCAAGGCTGGCAAGAAAAAACAGTCTGTCTAAAGAAAATTAACAATTGTGGCTTATTTGAATCTGACTCCCCCATTTGGCCTCAGATACAAGCCGACTCTCAAATTTCTCCTGGGACATGGGTAACTAGGGACAAAAGCTTCATGCATCGCACCCCCCCCCCCCCCCTCCCGAACTTCTGTGCAGGCTTATCAGAACCATGCCAGCTGACCAACATCTTATGAGGACTATGGCCTATCTGAAAGGGCTCATGGACAAATCTCAACGTCTTGACGTCCAATGCATGTAATGTAATCACGTTTATAAATGTGCTTGCTGGTAGAGCTTTTTGATGTATCAAATTGTGTCCTAATAAAGATGAGATGTGAAGAAATCTTTTTTTGTAATACCACTATCCACCCTCATGGCCTATTCCTTTTTTCTATCTAAAAGTATTCTGATAAAGAATAAGGGGCCGCGCTATGATAGCAGCAGCAACGTGCACTCCGCCCTTCTTTCGGACGACCGTACGAACATAATTTCACTGTATCCCGGTACAATGACGATAAAGCTTATTCTGATTCTGTAAACAGCCTTCATTATGGTGATTTACTGCCCACACACAGTTTAATGACACTTGTTGGTTATTCTGCAAGTCCAGGGTATGTGCATCAAGAAAACTGTCACATATAAAATAAAATAAATAAAATTGACTTCAGTTACCCTTATAAGGTTTTCTAAAATCCCAAAGCTAAGATCAGAACAAACTTTTCATAAATGTGTCCTTCAGAGGAAAATTGTATTTTAGTCACCTGATTTTTATTGTTTAATCAAAGAACCCTTAATTACAACTTTTGTTAATGAATGTTTTATATGAATTATTTTACCAGGAATAAGCAACCTAATAGTCAGTGTGAATGACTAAAACCAAATACCTAGTTCAGTAATGGAAAAAATATAGATTTTCCAGAAATTGGTCAGGCTTGTAGCTCATTGATTCATTTTCAGAGGATTCCCTTTTATAGTAAAAAAAAAACTATACTTCAGTAAAGTATTTTTTTTTCTGATAAAACTTTAAAATCCAAGCAACAACTTTGACACAATACAAAATTAAATATTAGAATTGGCTTAGCAGGCCAAGCTACATACTTGAGCTGCTAGAAGTTCTTACATTAAAATGAGACATTAATAATAATAATTGTTAAAAACATTGCATAAGGGAATGCATATCACCCTCCGCTGTTCTAGATTTGTTTCTAGTTTTAGATTAAGATCATCTTCTGTTGAGAAATGGAGTTGGAACCGTTGTGGTCAAACCTGGAACATGAATGATCCCGTAGGACATCGTGAGATCTGTTAACACTCAGAATATGTTTTGATGACTTTTAGATACTCACACGCCAAATTTCAGCTCCACATCTGTAAATCAGGCTGAGTTACAGACATTTTTTTAATTTGAGAAGTTTGCTTTACCGTCCATTAAATGGGAGCTTTTGCAGTTTGACTTGAATGGGAAGTAGATTGACAGATAGATTAGCAGTCAGTCATTTTGAGGAAAGCACCAAAGTCCTCAGGATAACCAAGGATTTAAGAGCAAAAAAATCTATTTTAATCCATAAATCAGCTGTAAGGTTTTTCAACTTAATGAAGCTGACAGACTCTTTTTTTGTTGTTGTTGTTGCCAGTTTCTTCAGCAGCTTCCTCCCCCCACAGGAAGCAGCTAAGCTTGAACCTCTGCTTCAGCCAAGCAACAATTACCGGGTCCATTTGTTATTTTCTGCTTGTAAACTGTTTTTCATTTGCAACAACTTTGGCCGTCTCTCACTTCGCAGTGTTGTTAACACTGCGATCTGATTGTGAGACTTCAAGTGTTTGTTGGCAACAAAAAAATAATACCACATCTTGAAATATTCTCAAACCTGGCACCACACACCTCCTGTTCGAATGCTTTTCCAAGCCAAACCACAGCTGACAGTACCTTGTTGACCATTCAGTCTGTTCTCACCTTCTGTGTCCCGTTCGTTGGCTCCAAACTGCAAGGTGATCTCCGTCTCTGGGTTCACGTTCCCCACCTCTCTGGTCCCTTTGTGTCTAGCCTCCTTTTCTCCTCTCAAACTCCTGCAGCAAAGCAGAACATGAGTCAGTGCTGTGGGCTTTAGAACCGCTGCAGCTCGGAGCACCTGAAAACACTTTAAGTGCCAAGAGTCTGGGAAGCATGTACTGGTGGGGGTGCAGATCTTACAGTGATTTGGGCAGCAGTAACGTTACTGCACAGTGTGTAGCCACGGTCCTGTTCTGAATAATCTCTTCAAACTCCGAGTGTAGCTGGTTGGGGCTGGCTATGACCACCTGCAGATAACAGAAATTGATGACATACAAAACACATGTTTTAAGCTTGGTATAGAAAATTAAAACATACGCAACCAGATGAGACATTGTATAAAATGTAAATAAAAACAAAATGCAATGATTTGCAAAGGTTATGAACCTCACAAAGCTAAGGCGGGTCCTCTGGACAGATTCTTCTTGTTGAAATGTTTCGTCTTTTATCCAGAAGACTTCCGTCAGTACAGATGGCACCTGCTCATATGAGAAGGTGCTATTTATAAGAGTGAGTTTATTGCAACTCCTCAAACTGAAGAAGTCTTTTGGATTAAAGACGAAACGTTTCAACAAGAAGAATCCGCCCCGAGGACCTGACTTAACGATGTTAAATTTTTCTACATGCATTATTGAACATGCTTCAGGATGTTATGAACCTTCATTTTAATTTATCCCATATTTAAACTAAGAATTTGTTCAATTTTTGAGGAAAAACAAGTAATTTTGAATTGGAAAGCTGCAACGCATCTCAAAGACAAGACAAGGGCAACAAAAGTCTGCAAAAGTAAGAAGAATGAATGAGAAAACAGCTGTTTTGCAACAAATTAGGTTGATTAACAATAGATCAGTAAGAGGAATGGGTATTTCATTCAACCTTTATTTATAAAGGTTAATCCCATTGAGCCTCGGGGACTCATTTACAAGAGAGATCTGATTTTAACAAAAGAGTTATGACAACAGTGGACAACAGTAACAACAGACAATCATAAAGGAAGCATACAGACTGAGAAGAACAAGTGAAATAAAATGGTATTAAAAAAATTAAACAAAAAACAGCTAGGTTGTAAGTAAATTAAAAGGGTGTTAAAAGAACATTATAGAAAGGCTGGATCTGTCAGAAGTAAAGATGGGCAGAGGTTCACAAGTCTGTGAAAAACTAAGCTAAAATCAAACTAGTAGAATAATGTCAGAATAATGTTCCTCAACAGATAATAACTGGGAGACCTTCGAACATCCCATCACACACAGTTCATAATAATTATAACAATAATTATAATAATTTTATATATACGTACATAAAATTATCAAACTATTTCAAGAATCTGGAGCTGTTTGAGCTCATAGGACATGAATGAATGGCATTTCTGGCTGCCGTGATGTTCAGGTTCTCAGGGGCCACGGCATTAAAATCAGATCTGATTCTGGACATCAGTGCATGGACTCAGTGCTCTAAGCAACATTTGTGGATGGAACAGTGAACTACGTTTATAGATAATTGGTTGTGGAAGTGTTCCTATCTAACAAAGAAGTCGTATGTGAACACCATCCAGAAACGTCGCTGTCTTCTCTGTGTCAAAACTCACTTAAGAAAACTGATCTGATGCCAGAAAAAATACAATTTTAAAATCATTTGGGAAAGCACAGACACCACGTCCTCAGCACTAAGAGGGGAAGGATGATTCGGCTTGTCATTGTTCAAAACCCTGCTTCTCTGATGGTATGGGGGTGCATTTATCTTTTTTACTGTTCATTATTTTACATTGTGAATTAAATATGAGTTTGAAATGAGCGAATGTTTGCATTCTGTTTTTAATTTCTGTTTTGCACAATGTTCCAACCTTTTCAGAGTTGAGTTTGTGTATTCATCATGACTAACTGGATGTAGCAAATCATGCAGCTCCTTACTTTCCCTCCAGTGCGGTCAGCGAGTCGTCCCAGCTCATCCAGCCTGCAGTCAGTTCCTTCTATGGACAGCACCGAGACTGTCACACTGAAAAGACAAGGTTGTTTCAGAATGACCTTCATCGCTGTGCTCCTCATTAGTAGAAACACACTTCTTCAGATGTCTAAACTGCTGAGTCTGTTAGCATTTCCACTGCCTGTTAATCCTTTTTATATTTTGGAGATATTTTTGGATTTCTATGCCAACCCCTGATTAGCAGCAAACTCCCCGAGGTCCTGGTAGAAGATGGTGGATGAGAGGAGCGTGCGAGCATCGTTGTCTTCCTCTTCTAGATTCCCCAGCTTGGCGTTGGCTTTCCCATCTGTACAGATAATCACCTTCAAGATCAGCAGGAATAACAAATCAGGATTTTACAGAGGAAAAAAAAATTTCAAAATTAATATTTATCACAGACAACTGCATGAATTTAACCAACTATCACAGCTCTGCAGGTATGTTTTCACATTTTATAGCTATTATTGTGTGCGTGAGTGCAGGCAAAGTGCTGTAATGAGTTATTTAGGCCTGTTAGTTGAGGGTAATATAATAGGCAAAAGTTTATTCTTGTTCAGCTCCCATTTCATAATAATCCATATTTTCTTGTTTCTATATCTCTATAAATATTTACTTTGTTTTAGAAAGAAAAGATTGAAAATAAAGAAATAAAAATCAACCAACACATCTTATTATAATTTACTTTAAAACAGTTTATTTGGTGCGTAGAGCACTATACAACTAGTTTCAGGTCTATTTAAAACAGCCTCTCAGTTTGGTGAAACTGACACTAAATTGAGATTTAGCAGCAAAACGTACCTTTGAGCCTGGGTGTCTGGAGGCCATCGTGATTGCAAGGAGAGCTGCTGGACCCAGAGCTGTGGCTCCATTCGCAGATAAACTGTCAACCCCAAAAACGTACTTGAATTTATATAATGAATTTATGGTACCACTTCACAGTAAGGCTCCCCTTATAGATAGCTAACAAATTGTTTATAGATAAGTTATTAATTCCTCTATAAACATTTTACAAATCATTAATAACTGCTTATTATGCTTTAATTAAGGGTGACAGAGATTTAAAAAAAAAAAAAAAGACCAGTTTCTTGCCAAATAGTGAGCCACATCTGTTCACCTATATATTTCATCTGGAGTTGTTATATTAAATATTTCAGACTAAATTCTAAGCACAATTAGCATTTGTAAACCTATTTTTTTTAGGATATAATTTTAGTTGTAGATACTTATAATGCAGTGATAAAGTACAATTTATATGCTAAATAAATAGGTTTACAAATGCTTATTGTGTAGTAATTTAGCCTGAAATGTTTAATATAACAACTCTAGATGAAATATATAGGTGAACAGATGTGGCTCTCTATTTGGCAAGAAATTGGTCAGTTTTTTTAATTTTATCTCTGTCACTCTTAATTAATGCATAATAAGCAGTTTTTAATGATTTATAAAGTGTTTATAGATGAATTAATAGCGTATCTATTGGGGATGCACAATATTATTGGCATGGTATCGGTATCGGTTAATATTAGCGATAAAGTTGAATATCGGACATCAGCCATTCCATCAAAATAACTCACCGATATAAAAGGCTTCTGTTTTAAGTTAATTTTTAATTCAAGAATCTGTCAGGTATATGTATTAATGCACTACTTTGTGCTTTTCACGTCGCTTGTGAACAGGTTGAGTTTAGATTTGTGAAAATTTACAAATTTGCACTGTTCGAGTGTTGTCATTGTGTTAGAGAGAGTAAACGTCATGAATAAATTTGACATTAAACATAATCCAAGTTGAAGTGTTGTGTCATTTTCAGTCCCTTTTTTGGCATCTGCATTTGGTAGCGGGCCAAACTGACAAAGACCATGCAGAATAATGTATTTTAATTTCACAGCAGAGAAAGATATGTAGTCTCTGTAAGTAGGGCTAGGGGGGGAAATATCGGTATTGGTATCGGTTATCGGTTATCGGCCAAATAAGTTTTAACATATTGGTATATCGGCCAAAAATCCAATATTGTACATCCCTATAGTAAGCCATCTATAATGGGAGCTTTATTGTAAAGTGATACCAAATGTATATACCAATGTAAACAAATAACATGGGAGCTCAGTTAATGCTGCTTACCCTATGACTTGTCTCTGTAAGCATCCCATGGTTTGTGAAAGTGGAGGTGGACTGGGAAAACTGGCTGCGGCCTCCTTCAAGTACTCGCTGTCATTCAGGTCATCTCCACTCAGAAGCAGGGATTTACAATTCTTATAGCCGTGCATCGTCACCTGGAGGTGGCCGTGAGGAGATGAAGCAATGCAACAAAGACAACATAGAACCGTGAGTCAGGAGAATCACAGATAAAATGTGTGGAAAGTTGGAGATGAGCTGTGACAACACGGACCTGATAGTTGAAGGAGATGAGCCCCACTCGGACCTCAGCTTGTTGCTCACTCAGCCTCTGAACACACTGCAGCACGGCTCCCTGGACAAACTGATGTGAAAACGACCATCACCAACCCGTCCTTCAGAGCAGCACAGAACTCCTTAACGTGCAAAAGTCACGAGTCGTTCCTCAAGGAGCCAGACTTTCTGCATCTTTATATTTTGTCTTTGAAATGTGGAAGGTGCAACGGAAATAAGACTTTTAAAGAAGTCTTGATAAGTTATTTGAGCTTTCTGAAGGTCTCATGCTTATGGAAAAGTTATTTTCACATTTTTATCAAAGCAATGCCAAAATCTGAACATTTACTTGCAGCCTGGTTTTGTAGACAACCTGCTCTCCCTCCAACACCTTAAAAAGAAGACAAATTATTTTTTAGTGTTTTATACTTTTTTAATGAATGCTGCTAAAATAAGAAGTTTTAGTTGCTGTACGTTGGACGTGACGCTCATGGAGCCCGAGGAGTCGATACAGAAGAGCAGCAGGGCCTCGGCAGCACACAGGGGCTCGTCATCAGGGTTGAGCAGGTAAACCTCATCCCAGTAAATGTTTTCAGGACAACTGGGTGTACTGGCAGGACTGGTCAAATTCCGGGACCAACAGAAGTAGCACACTTTAACCTGCTATTAAACAAAACAGTCACCAAGTAAGAATTCATCATTCCCACCAGGTGATGCCTATAAAGTCTCATCATTCCGTTCTCATGGTTAAAAAAAAGACTTTAGTGTCATTTCCAGAGAAAATGTTAAAAATAATGCAGTACCTTGTTGTCATAGGAGTTGTCCAACACAGAGCCACACTGGGAACATGAGGTGGGCCTTCCTTGTATGGGTTGCACTAAAAAACGTAAAATCGCTGCAATAAGATAGTTGTTATAAAATGTAAACCAAATGACTGATATTGATCAAAGTCACCAACCTCTTTCCTCTGCAAGCAATTTTCCTAAACTGACAAGAACCACATTGGGGTTTCCTGGCAGCAGCTCCTTATTTGCTATTGTGAAATTGGGAATAACACAAAACCAAGAAATTGCCTGCTTTAGATTTTGTTAAAGATAAAACAACTAAATAAGACACGTACTGCAATACCTTTAGAGGTAAATGATGAGGCAGTTGATGTGCTTGAAGGAAATGACCGAGAGGATGAGGATGATTGATGGGTCGAGGGTAACACCAGCACGTATTCTGGCATCAATTCCAAAAATGAAGGTCTTGGAGGGAGATCAGGGGCTGTGAGAGGAAACAGTTTGGGATCTCAACACAAGCTGGAAATAAGCTGAATAAGAAAAAAAGGAAAAAATAGGAATTATATATTTTTTGTTTTTTTTACCAGATGGCAATATAGGTCCAGCCGGCAGCTTCACTTCTCCACCCGAGCCTTCTGGTATAGCATAGGTATAGTCAGGATCCACAAGATTCCTGTTTAAATCTGGTTCTTGCTTCGGCTCGTTATATTTGAACATCTGATGGCTGGTGTTGGGGGACGTTAGTGGCTGACTGTAAGAATCAGTGTTTGCTGCAGGTTTCATATGTGGCGGAAGAAGAGCTGCATTAGAATAGAGAATAATAGAGTTTTAAAGTCATATTTTAATGTAGTTTTTCTAGGATTTTTGCAATCATACTACTACTGTATACATTGTGCAGTTTGAAACATACATTAAAATGTTCAGCTCGATCATACCATTTTATTTATAGAGTACTTAAAACAGGAGCAAGGCCAACCAAAGTGCTGTACAGCAGAAAACAAACAAGCAAAGCACACAGCAGAACATAAAACAAAGTAAAATAAAAATATAGATAATAGCAGAAGATAATAGTCTAATGGCTACACAGTATTATACAGACAGGTTCAAAACAGATCATACAGTGGTAAAAGCCAGGGAATAATAGTGAGTTTTGAAGCGGGACTTGAAAACTGTGAGGGAGGGGGCCTGCCTGACAAGCAGTGGTAAGTCATTCCACAATCTTGGGCCTGCGAAAGAGAAGGAATGCCCTGTCGCCTCTGAGCTTAGACAGGTTCCTGGACCTGAGAGAAGCAGCTGATCTACTGACCTCAGAGAACGAGGTGGGACATATGGAAGTAGAAGATCAGTGTGATAAGAGGGGGCAGAACGGTTCAGTGATCTAAAAACATACAGGAGTATTTTGAACTGGATTGAAGGTAAATCGGTAGCCAGTGCAGGGAGACCAGAACTGGAGTAATGTGCTCTCTTTTGCCTGTGCTGGTTAAAAATCAAGCTGCAGCATTTTGGACTAGTTGTAGTCGTGCAATGGAGGTCTGACTGATTCCAAACAGGAGCGAGTTGCAGTAATTGAGCCTGGATGTTATGAATGTATGTATTACTGTTTCCAGGTTATTTTTGGACAATATGGGATTCAGCTTAGACAGTTGCCTCATCTGGAAAAACAGGATTTAACAATCATGTTTACATGACTGTTAAGTTTCAAGGAAGGGTCCGTTATCACTCCCAGATTAGTGACTCATAGTTTCTCTAACAGGGCTAGAGAGGAAAGGTCGATACTGTGGTTCATGATTGGGCCATTTGGAGGGAACAACATGACTTTGGTATTCTTCTCATTAAAACTTAAGAAATTTAAAGCCATCTAGTCCCTGATGTCAGCCAGGCAGTCAAGAAGAGGTTGAATAGAACGTGTACCACTGTGTTTTAGGTGGAAGTAAATTTGACAGTCATTGGCATAGAAATGAAAGGGTATGTTGTGTTTATGGAAAATAGCACCTAGTGGCAGCAGGTATAAAGAAAAGGGAAGGGGACCGAGGATGGACCCCTGCGGTACCCCGCATTGGAGCGCTGCCGAAGTGGAAATAAAATATTTGATGATGACGCAAAAGGTTCTGTCAGCGAGGTAGGATTTAAACCATTTGAGGGCTGACCCTGTGATGCCCACCCACTGCTCCAACCTAGAAATGAGGATCTCATGGTCGATGGTGTCGAAAGCAAATATAAAGTTCAATAGAACAAGCAGCACAGAATCACCTGCATCTGTGGCTAGGAAAATGTTAAAAACCTTCAGTAGAGCAGTTTCAGTGCTGTGGAGAGGTTTAAAGCCAGATTGGAATAACTCTAAGAAAGTGTGATCCTCTAACTTCTCCTTCAACTGGGATTCAGCTATTTTTTCCAGTAGTTTTCAGGATCAGGAATAATATGTTATGATATGACACATTATTGTAATTTTTATACCATTCCAAATATCTAACCTTATTTACATTAAAACTCTCCATAGGAAAACAGGGATTTCATCAATTCCTACAAGTCCTACCGTTTTTCTTGTTTTAGCTTTAATAACTCAGTTGCATCTTCTAAAGCAAACTTCAGCAAAGTCATTCATCACTAATCAAAATGCCTTTTTAAAATTGTTTTATATATTTTTAAGCATTTGAAAACATACAGTATAGAGTTGCAAAGTCAACAATGAGACTTGTCAACAAAACTCAGCAAATGTACGTCTACCTACAATTTTTCTTACAAATCTTTTAACTCAGCTTGGATTGTTGGTTTTACTGTTGTTAATTTATTTGTTTTAATTGTTTTTACGGTTTTATTAACATTTCATCACTTTTGTTGTTTCAGTTGATTTTACAGTTTTTTATGCTTGTATGTGTTAGTGCACAGCACTTTGGCCAATGGTGTTGTTTTTAAAGTGCTTTATAAATAAAGTTGTATTGTATAAATCAAGTCACATCACCTATAATGCTTTGTTTTGTGGTCCAGGCTTTTTCTCTGGTATAGTACTTGTCTGTGTCACAGTACCTGCCCATAACCTGCAATATATTTTTTGTTCATATTTAAATTGTAAATGTCATAATTCTTGCAGATATTTCCCAGCTATTTAACTAGTAACAAAGTCAGGAATATCAGAAGAAGTACTTTTGTACAAATAGAGTGATAAATTCACCAGAGCTTTCAAAAGAAACCTGTAAAAGTAATGATGAGTGTTTATCCTCATTTCTGCTGACATTTACAGTCATGGCTAAAAGTGGGCACACTCTTTTTCATTTCCAAGGTTTATGTATCAAGGAAACATTTTCTGGTTTCTGGTTATAAAATTGGGTATATAAAGTCATTTCCAGACAATTTGTTGTCCACTATTTTACAGTGTGACAGATTATTCCCAAGTGGATTCAAAACAGCTTTTGATCTTAGGAGGGGTTGTTCCTTCATGTTCTCCTTAAAATCTTAGTAATCTTAATACAATTGTCATAAAAACCTCTTATCTGGAGTAATGTTTTTAAATGACCATGATAGACATGTTCATCTTAATCCAATGTGTTTGGAGAAAATGAAATGCAGCATACCAGCAGCAACACCTCCTACTTTCAGGCATGGAGGTAGAGAGTTGATTATCTGGGTTTGTGAATAATTAAAAAACCCTGAATGATACAATGAGATTAAATTTAAATATATCTCAGTTGCCCTTTATACATATTGATTGCATCTTTCCGAACAAACGAATACAAACAAAGGGACTTTGCATTATCTCATCCTCCTCCATCTCACTCTGTCCTCTGCGTCCTCTGTCCTCACTCCAACTACCTCCATGTCCTCTCTAACTGCATCCATATATCTCCTCTTTGTCTTTTTCCTAGCAGCTGCATTTCTAACATCCTTCTACCAATATACCCACTGTCCCTCCTCTGGACATGTCCAAACCATCTCAGTCTGGCCTCTTTAACTTTATCTCCCAGTTGTTCAACCTGTGCTGTACCTCTGATGATCTCATTCCTAATCTTATCCAGTCTCGTCACTCATAAGAAGAACCTCAACATCTTCACTTCTGCTTCCAGTTCTTTCTCCTGTCTTTTTATCAATGTCACTGTCTCCAGACCATACAACATAGCTGGTCTCATCAATGTCTTGTAAACTTTTCCTTTGACCTTTGCTGCCACTTTTTTTTTTTTGTCACAAATCACTCCTGAAACTTTTCTCCATCCATTCAATCCTGTCTGGACTCTCTTTTCATTTCTTTACCACACTTCCCATTTTCCTGGACAGTGGACCCCAAGCACTTGAAGTCCTGCACCTTTGTGACCTCTGCTCCTTGTAGCCTCACTGTTCCACTGGCCTCCCTCTCATTGCTGAGTGGTTAGAGCAGTCATCCTCCAATGCAAGAGTTGGGGGTTCAAATCCACCAGCAGTCACATGCCAAAGTGTCCCTGGGCGAGACACTGAACCCTTCATTGCTTCCGATGTGTGTCCCATCGGTGTATGAATGTGCTAAAACACTGATTAGTCTCTTTAGAATGATTTGTTCAATTAGCTTTGTAGAGCTCTATTAGAGTGCTGTATGAATGGGTAAATGAGGCACAGATTGTAGTGTAAAACGCTTTGAGTGTCTTGATAAGATAGAAAGGCACTATATAAGTGCAGTCCATTTACCACTTCATTCACACACATGTACTTTGTCTAACTACGGTTGCCTTTCATTCCTCCTTTCAAGTGTACACCTCCACCTCTCCAAGTTCTCTTCCACCTGTTCCCTGTTCTCACCATAGATCATAATGTCATCTGCAAACATCATAGTCCATGAGGATTCCTGCCTGACCTCATCTGTTAGTCGGTCCATTACCAGAGCAAACAAGAAGGGGCTCAGAGCCGATCCTTGATGCACTCCCTCCTTCACCTTGAAGCTATCTGTCCCTCCTACAGCACATAGCACCACTGTTCTGCTGTCCTCATACATGTCATTTACCTGTAATACACATAACATTCTTGAACAAGCAAGGACCTAAAAAGACAGGAAAGGGCTGCAGTGATAGCATAGAGCTGAAGAAACACTGTACGAAATTCAGTACCTGTAAGATGTACCTGTAAATGTGTCTACCCGTACAATGTGCCACAATAAAGCCCATTTTGTCTTATTAAAGAAACCCATTGAAAGCAGAAGCCAAACCTTTCAGATATTAAGAATATTTTAACTTTCTCATCCTTACCATCACAGGTACGTTACATTTTACATACCTGTCTTTCGATGAGGTGTTGTGGGAGGAGAAACAACACTTTTGGAAGAAGTTGCCCCCGATTTCTTGAGAAATTCGGCATTTTCATAGTGGGGAGAGATCTTTGTGGCCTTGACCTGTTTGTTCCCTTTTAAAAGTTCAATCTTGGTCTCATACGTGTGGGGTTGCTTTGCTTTTGTGGTTTTTGGAGAATCTGTTGGAGGTGGAGGAGGAGCGGTGCGGGGACGAAGCCAGGAAACAGGAGGAAGGAGAGCTAAAAACAATAAATAAATTTATATGCAGTGGTGCTTTAAAGTTGACCAATTTCTATATTTATTGCCTGCCACCCAAGTCAAAAGGGTGTTTATATTTTTGACTGTGTGTTTGTTACCAAATTATCTTATGAACCTCCTGATTATTTTACTGAAACTTATGGCAAGTAATCATTACATGTTCATCTATAACTGATCAACATTTAGCTTGGCATGGCTGCCACAGCTTAATGAGCTTAGAAAACACAAACAATGAGTCAGTTTAACAGATGCTAATCTAAACTTTGTGTGGTAGTAGCTGAGAGTCATTCACAACCCATACTTTGAGTGCTACACATTGCCTTCACTGCTTAAAACTTTAACATTTTAATCATCCCTGTTTGTTTCCAAATTATCATTATCACTGGATGAACATCTTTAATTTAAAAGCTTACAACATCAATCCAATTTAGGATAACCTCTACAGCTAATCATTCATTGCCTATTCAAAAGTTACTAACGTGACTAAGCTGTGTGTACATTTCACATACTGTACGCTGCCTCGGAGTTGAATTTAAAAAAAGAAACATTTTGTTAAGTATTTTTTGTTTTACTGAGTTGCAAAGTTTCCAAGATGTTTCTGAATAGTTTTTTTTTTTTTTTTTAAGTGAGCACAGACAAAAGCTTTCTGCAGGATGACGTTCATAATGTGGAGAAAATGTGAGTCAGGTGGCACGTGACTAATGAATAGAACGAAGGATTAAAAAAAAGAACGTCTCAACGATGTCTGCCAGGACAAACGCTGCCAGACATGATTCTACTTAACCAACCAGTTTCCCAGAAAGATTTGAACGGGAAAAACCAGTCATCAGATGTTGCACTAAGAAGTTGAACTTTGGTAATCTGCCCTTAAATATGTAATTTGTGTAAAAGTTGTCAACATTTTCGACAGTTTCTTCAGTTGTGCTCCACAGGGAACGGTAAATATCAGCAGGTGACAAATACAGCACTAACAGCGATTTGCTTCTTTGACTAACTCATTGGATTTATTAAATCGTTAAGGAATTTAAAATGCACAGATGAAATGTTTCTGAATCTTGTATGAAATGGTCGTTGGCAAACTGCAATATATACATAAACATACTTATACAGTACACCTGCACATACTGTACATGCATGCATACATACATTGGTGTGTGTCTGAGATGAACAGTGGACAGATGTCTGAACATAGTCATACCTGAGCGTTTATTGCCATTAGTGTTGGATTGCAGGACGTCTCTCTGAGTCACAGACGGTGGCACATAAACGTACCCACAAGCAAATTCCATTTCAGCTCACTCTGCAGCTGACACAGTTTACAGAAAATGTCAGGATTTGTGTGTACGGACCAAAGGAAGTAGACTTACTCAAGGATTGAATCCAAAAAATAAAAAGAATTGAATAACAGAAGAGAAAAAGCAGGCAAATACGTATATGACAAAAATAACTTGGTGCACATGGGGAAGATGCACAAAAACAATATGAAGATATGAGGAGTTCAAGTACTGTATTTTTCGGACTATAAGGCACACTTAAAGTCCTTTCATTTTATCAAAAATTGACAGTGAACCTTATAATCCTGCACGCCTTATGTATTAATTCTGGTTGTGCTTACTGACCTTGAACCGATTTTATGTTGTACACAGTGCTCAAAAAACTGTCAAAATGTTTTAGTACGACTCTGGGAAGCTACGAAGCCGCACAGCTTCATCATCACTGAACGGCTAAGTAACGGCGACGAGACAGACTCGGATAATGACAAGAGGGGTCCGGGCATGTTTGATGCTGAAATCACCCGACTGTTAAACTCAGACACTGAAGATAAAGAATTTGATGGATTTGTGTAAGAGGATTGAATTGAAAAAGTGAGTGTATTGTTTTATATTTTATGTGTTACAACTGAACAATGTTGAGAGTTAATGTGATTGAGTTGAATAAAGATTGACTTATCTGACTGTTTCGTTTCACTTATAATCCAGTGCGCCTTATAGTCCGAAAAATACAGTAAACTGGTGGAAATAAAATAGACAGCTGAGAGTAATAGGCTAATGAGGAACAGGTGCGCGATGAGGCAAAATACTGATTAAATTGAGGAAATGCAATATAAACAACACTGGGAACAAACAGGAAGGAAACTCCAATGAAGGTATCCAAAGGAAAAATACAAGGAACACCCAGAAAACAACAGAAACAGCAACAACAAAAGAACAAAAAAAATAAAAAATAAACATCCAAAAAACCATTGGTCTTGACAGAAAATGCCTGTTATTTTATTGAAAAAGAATAAAAATCAGAAACAAGTTAAAGTACACTTCTAAAACACACAGACACACACCAAGAGTCTCTTTAAGAGAACGGTCACACTTGGGATTTCGATTTAAACACAACATACTGTGAAAAACTTGATCAAGGCAACATAGAAGATTAATTTAATCAAAAATAAACATACTCACGCATGTGGAGTGCAACCGCCAACCTGAAATCCTTACTGGGCTCAGAAATGTTTGAACTACTCTTTCACGTCTTGTCTTACAGTGTATCCGACAGAGCTTGTCCAGCAGGTTTCCTTCCTGTGAGTCCTCTGTCATTCCACAAAGGGAAGTTTTCACAAAGCTGTGCAGCAGGTAGGGTAGATTTTTATCACAAGTTGCACAACTCTAGTTAAACATTTCATAAATGTAATAAAACTGGTGAACCAAAGGAAGCAGACAAAGAACACGAAGTTAAATGTCACAAGTTACTGTGGCTCTTCCTCTGTTGGCTCCACATTAGTTCAATAGTTTTGCGCTAAAAACAAAATAATATGTGCATCCTTCATATGTAGCTACAAAATAAAAACTTCCCTGACTGAAAGTGCATACTTTTGATGAATTCAAAAATTTGAAATAAATGCAAATCTCTTTATTTATCATTGCAAAGCTCACCATTTTATTATTATTACTATTTTTTTGTTAGCTAAGGTTGATTACCGGTAGTTGTGGCCGCCATCTTGAATCACGTAAACTACAAAACTTTTTCAATGGATCTAAAAAAGTTCAATCTGGTCCTCTGGACATAAAAAAAAAAATAAATAAAAAAAGGTAGAAACGTTTCGTCTCTCATCCGAAAGACTTCTTCAGTCTGAGGTGCTGTGTTCAGCTCAGTCTTATAAATAGCACCTTCTCAGAGTGGATCAACCAGTTTGCTGCTGACAACCAAAACCAGCTGATCACATGGTCAAGAAGGACCATCAGCCTAACAATGGATCATTAACACACTGATGGCTGTTTACTGTTCACAGAGGGCTGAGTGATACTAGCAATCACAGCATTGTAAGAGGGGGACAGTTGAACCCGGAGGCCTCCACCCCTGTTTAATGATGGACGATTTCTTTTCACAAAGATGGCCTCCTTTACTCCTCTCTCAAACCATCGTTCCTCTCTGTCCAGGATGTGAAAATCTTCATCCCTGAACGAGTGACCGCTGGCCTGGAGATGAGTGTAGACCGCAGAATCCTGACCTGATGATGTTGATCTTCTGTGATGGGCCATCCTTTTGGCCAGTGGCTGTTTAGTTTCCTTGATGTAAGACTGATCACAGCCCTCCTGACACTGAACAGCATACACAACATTACTCTGTTTGCGCCGGGGGACTGGATCTTTGGGACGAACCAGTCTTTGCCATAATGTATTTTGGGGTTTAAAAGCCACCTGGGACGTTATGTTTAGAAAATAAACGTCTCAGTTTCTCTCAACATACGGAATGACCACTGGTCTGGGTCTGGGTTCCTCCTTTTCACCTGATGGCTGACTGGAGTCCTGTTTGGGTTTCTTCTCTGCTTTCAGGAAGGCCCAGTTAGGATATCCACATTGCTCTAGAGCCTGTCTTGTGTGGGATTTCTCCTTCTGCCTGGCTCCTGAGCTAGTGGGGACGCTGTCTGCTCTGTGGTACAGAGTCCTGATGACTCCTAACTTGTGCTCCAAAGGGTGATGGGAGTCAAACTGCAAATACTGGTCTGTGTGGGTGGGTTTGCGGTACACCTCAATCAGAGACTGAGACCTCACAGTCCAAGAAAGCCAACTTGCCATTTTTTACATCTTCTCGTGTGAACTTGATGTATTTATCCACAGAGTTGATGTGGTCAGTAAAATGTTGGACTTCCTGACATTTAATTTTAACCCAGGTGTCGTCAACATACCTGAACCAATGACTTGGTGGTGTCCCTGAAAAGGACGTCAAGGCTCTCTTTTCTACCTCCTCCATGTACAGGTTGGCAACAATAGGAGAAACTGGAGACCCCATAGCACACCCATGTTTCTGCCTATAATATTGCTCCCCATATGTGAAGTAGGTTGACTGCAGGCACAGTTTCAAGAGTTGACACAGTTGTTCTGTGGAAAGTGTGGTCCTGCTGCTCAGAGTGGTGTCTGATTTTAATTTTAAACTGACCACCTCTACTGCATCATCAACAGGAATGCACGTAAAGAGTGATGTGACATCAAAAGAGACCATTGTTTCATCAGTCTCCATGATGACATCCCTCACCTTATCCACAAAGTCCATGGTGTTCTGTATGTGGTGTTCTGAGCTGCCAAATAAAGGGATGAGTACAGACACCAGATATTTGGAAACATTGTAAGTGACCGAGTTAATCATACTAACAATAGGTCTTAAAGGTAAACCTTGTTTGTGGATTTTAGGTAAACCATACAGACTAGGTGTGGCCTCCCCTGGGTACAGTCGGTGGTACAGAATACGGTCAATAGCCTTGTCCTGCTCCAAATTTTTTAGCGGGGGGTGGGGGTGCACCCTGGACAGGTCACAAGTCCATCACAGGGACACAGAGAAAAACTGGACAAACTCTCTCACTCACACCTAGGGACATTTTAGAGTCACCAATCAGCCTAGCATGCATGTTTTTGGTCTGTGGGAGGAAACCGGAGTACCCGGAGAAAATCCACACATCCACACATGCAAACTACACCCAGAAAGGCCCCTGGCTGGAATTTGATCGAGCGACCTCCTTGCTGAGAGACGGCAGCTCTACCAGCTGTGCCACAGTTCACTGTCATCCACAAATCCTGGTTAAATCTCTATAATGTCAATCAGAAATGCTGCCGTCTTCTCTGAACCACAGCTCATTTGAAATGAACTGAGGCAAAGTGGAAAACTGTTTTATCATCAGGTAAATCAAAACGTAAATTTTTTTAGTAAAGGCTTTCCAAGTACTGGTAATAACGTACCATCCAGCCTGCAATCATAACACAATTTAAAATCCTCTAATGATATGGGGGTGCATTAGTGCCAATAGCCTGGATGTCTTTTTCAGAGAATGCCTTGCACATTTCAGCAAGACGATGTTAAACCACATACTGCATCCATTACAACAGCACGGCTTCATAGTTGCAGAGTCTGAACTGGCCTGCCTGCAATCCATACCTCTCGCTGATTGAAAACATTTCTCTGTCATGAAACAATAAATTCAGCAAAGACACGAGGAACAAGAACAAAACAAACAAAACAACAACAACTAGAAACTAGAATTCTGTATCAGACAAGAATGTGACAAAGTTCCTCCTGAAAACTTCCAACAGCTGCTCTCATCAGTTCCTAAACATTTACATTTTGTTGCTGAAGAGATCCGTAGGCAGCACGGTGGCGCAACTGGTAGAGCTGCTGCCTCTCAGCGAGCAGGTCCTTGGTTCAAACCCCGGTCCAGGGGCCTTTCTGGGTGGAGTTTGCATGTTCTCTCCGTGCATGCGTGGGTTTCCTCTGGGTACTCCGGTTTCCTCCCACAGACCAAAAACATGCATGTTAGGCTGATTGGTAACTCTAAATTGTCCCTAGGTGTGAGTGAGAGAGTGAATGGTTGTTTGTCTCGTTTGTCTCTATGCGTCCCTTTGATGGACTTGCGACCTATCCAGGGTGTACCCTGCCCCTCGCACAGTGATTGCTGGACATGGGCACCGGCGACCCCCATGACCCAAAATGGAACAAACGGGTAAAGATAATGGATGGATGGAAGAGATCCTTAATTTTTATTAACATTTTAAATGAAAACTACATTTGTTTTCTTCCCCAAAAGTTGTATAATTTCTTATTTCAAACATTTGACATGTTTACTCTGTGTCATTGTGAATAAAATGCTGGTTCATGAGATTCAATTTTTGTTTTTATTAATATTTTAAACAATGTTTCAATATTTTCATAAATGGAGAAATATATATGCAAAAACATTCACCTCTACATGTGCATTAGAGTAGCTTTATTTTGAAAATCCACTTTCTTTACTGTGACTTCTGTGCTCTTAAACATTATACTCTTGAAGTAAACATGAACACTGCATGCACGCAGCATTGTAAACCTGTGTCAGCATAATTCAAATAATATGGACACAAAAACTGAAAACAAACATTTTCTGTTGTTTTGTTTTTCTCGCTTCTTCTTGACAAGACTCAACACACACACACATCAGCATGCAAACACACACACACACACACACCCGTACAAGAAAACATTAGCCATAAAACAAGACATTCTAGTTTTAGTTGATCTTAAAACGACTCAAGCTAAACAAGTTAGAATATTAAGTCTTCGAAATTGTACATGTTAACATCTTAGACGTCAAACTGTGACTTTAAATAAATTGTTGCTTTAAGAATAGTATTAAAAATATTTGTGAGGAAAAAGACATTCAGGACGTCAGCTGCTGGACAGTCTGAACCGTCACTCTGCGACTTCAACGTAATTAGCTGGGTAGAAGCCCTCCTTCCCTCCGCTCAGGACCCCTTTACACCAGCCCTGGTCATCTTCCTCCTCGACCTTCAGGAAGATCTCACCTGCAGGGACAAACAAAACATTTCAGTAAGTTTTATAATAAGAATTTGTGAAAAGAATAAATGAAACAAAATTAGGGCATACACATGAAATCATTTTTACAGCTTTACCTCCAGACTGTCATTAAAAAAACTGAACTGATCTGTAAATCCACCAGACTCCTCTGACTATTTTTGTTTGTGTAATATACAATGTTTGCTGCCTCTTAGTGGTTTCTTTTTTTTATTTCCCTTTTGACTAGAACTTGAATTTAATTAGTAAAAGTCAAGGCGGCTGTGTGAGCATGAGGATTTTCTGAATTCTGCAAGGAGCCTTTTTTGAAAGAAGCATAGATGGGTTCATCATTTTGAGTGCCATAAATGGCCGTCTGAGGTCAAGATAAGGTGCTGGAGCCTGGAAATATTCTAAATACACTCAATAATACACTTAATACACTCAAACTGATAATATATTTCTTAAAGTAGGCCTTTTGGGAGCAAAGTTGCTGCTGTCTTTGTTCACATGCACTGTTTCTTAGACCAGCTGGGTCAAAGTAATGTTCAAAGTAATGTTTCAAAGTAATGTTCTTAATAGATGTATTTATTTTTTTATTTTATTTTATTAATTGTAGTTAGTGCAGTCTCAGTTTGGAAGTTGAGAAAGTTATTCAGTGATGATTATTAGAAGATATTTTGCCTTTTCAAACAATTAAAACCTCTTAACATTTTACAGCTATTCAAGAAAAAAACTCCATTGCAGACTTTTACAGTTATTATTAGTTTTTTTGCATCATACAATAAATTATTTTGTCATTATTTTACCATGAATGGTAATGTTCTGTTGGTTTATGTGTTCTTATACATATAAGGTTCCAGCGGGAACTGTTCTACAACAGACCATTCAGACGGTGAAACAGCCTGAACGAGAGGAAGAGAGACACTTGTTTTAATTTGGGTGGTTCATCAGTAACATTTTTTTCTGCTTGGGTGGCTGATGTGAAGGACTCTTGCATTCTGGGCCTGGACTTTTTTAGAGCCACCAGGTGAACCTGGAATCTGCTGCCGACAGGCCTGCGTATGAAGTTGACCCTACCTGACCATCAAGCTGTTTCAGTGCTGCTCAACACCACACACTGAGCAGCCCCTGGAGGTGGACAACACCATCTAGCCCACCAATGTCACCAGCATTGACCCCCACAGCAGCAAGGGAAGGTGCCAGAGGACTAAACAGGAGGGATCCATTCAGTCTGGGAGAAAAACTGAACTGGACTGGATGATGAGCAGGACAATGAGGTGGGTCTCACACACCTGGTTGAGGACCACATTGACACAGAGGATGCATGGTCGGATGGAGGGATATATATATATAT